CTAAGTCTTCTGAAAGAATTACGTTCCTACCTTATAAGAACTTAGAAGGTCAAAAACAAAGGCGTCTTGTCAAATTTATTAAAAGAAAATTTGCTGTTTCTGAAAGTTATATAAAGTCTGTTAGATTCGAAATTCTTCATAGCTCTCAAAAGAAATGAGAAAATTGCATCTTGAGATATTATATAATGCTTTAAAAACAGTTATTTTTATGATTAATCAAAAAAGGTGTTTACCTTTTTTGTTTTTTGGAAGCTTTGCACTTAATATTCTGCTATGTGTTTTTGTTTTGCCAACAGCAAACTAACGTTATCATGTTTAGTCAGTTGCTCAGCTCAGAGAACTTGTCTATGCCTTGCTTCAGATTCCAAATACCCACAAACAAATGTAGTACAGACATATTGGCTTAAATTTCTCTGAGGCTTTCTGTACCTGAAAATTCTGTTAAATTATGCAAATATTAAAGAAAAAAAATGTAAGAAAATGCAGCTCAGTGACTAAAGCATAACTTGGAGTAGTCCTTTGGCTTGTTTTTCTTGCAGTGAGGACTAATCATACAGCAGATGTGTCAACCATATTCTAGTTAGATGATTAGAAGTTAAATGTGTTTCTTTCTCACTGGGAGGCAGATTGCAGAATTTGTACATCTGTCACTAAATCTTTTTTGCTGTTGTTGGTGCTGCAGTATGTTTCTCAAGATTTAACTATCTTAGCAAATTGCCTCGAGCTAATTATGATTTGTGTTGGTTGTGCCTGACATAACTTGATTGTTAGAGGTTAATATTCCAGAACCGAAAAGGAGCTTTAATTGGATGATGTTGGCAATTATTCTGTGCCTTGCCCAACCCAAGGACATTGGGTTGTAGTGACAAATATATGTTTAACTACTCTAAAGAAATAGTTGATTCTTACCTGTGTGTAGAATGAACACCTAAATTAATCTTGTTCATTAGAGGATTGTGTAAGATAACTTTTGCAATTCTGTCCTTCTGTCACAGTCCGTCCTTTTTGATCAACTCCTATGTGTTCTTAGCTGTAAAAATAAGCATGCTTAAAGTCATCTGATTAGTTTGACTCTCTAATTCATGTATCTAATTTTTTGCATAACAAATTGGGGGTGCATGCATAACTGGTCTTGTATTCCTGTGTTTGCCTTCCTTAAATGGTGGGTTACCTGCTGAGAGTCCCAGGAGAAAGTAGCTGATGTTGAAGCAGATTTCCTGGTAGTTACACCTTCATGTAATGTATATCTTCCTTATGCTTCTTTTCTAAAGAAAACTGTATTTCTTTCAAACAAAAACTATGTAGTACAGTAGACTGTGTAGCTTATTTTTGGCTTAATTTTCTCTATTCTGGAAAAGAGAAGGAGTTGTATTTATTATTTATATTTCACTTGTCAAAGTCTTGTATAGATTGTGGGGGTGGGGTATCGATTAGAGAGTTCAGCTTGTTTTATGTCTATGTGGAATACAATGTAGTATTAACAGATGTGAATTTTCTTTCCAGTGCATCTTAAGTAAGGCAGCTTGTATTGCTTTTTTTTTTATGTTGAGAAAGGATTGAAAGAATATGTAATTCTTTGCATTGCCTTAAACTCGGGTTTCTTTAGCTTGTGTCGGTCCTTGTGTTTTCTGATGTGTTTTGTTTGTTACTGGAGTAGAAAGTAAGTTAAGTTCTTAGTAAGTGCAAAGGAATTTGTGATTATTTAATACTTAGGTAACCACTCCATTATTCCTTTCTGCTTCTTTTTGGAGTGTTTATCTTCAAGGATGTTTTCTTTTGTTATTATATGCTACTGTCACCAAAGTTTCATTTTAATTACACTGCATTTAATTTGTTGGAATCTTTTCATAGTGTCCTAGTGTGTTTTTTATCCTTATGCTGTGATCGAAGACTGCCTAAAATATAAGAGGTGTATTAGGAACTTGTTGAAAATCCAGTGGGCAAATTAACAAGTGCAAATACTTAAATTTCTATCAGAAAAAGAAAACACATATGAAATGCACTTAGCTCTGTTGGTATGTATATTAGGTTTATATTACAAGGCTGCAGGAGTGGCCTCTTGGTAGAGCCCAGTACATGGGTATATTTTGAAGGCTGGAGAGGAATGCCGTGTTCTTGCTCTGTTTGGATTTAGGCACAGTCAGAGTGGTGTAGTTTGACTAGATTTTTTGGAGAGATGCTGTTGGAGGGAGATGCTACAGCTGCAGACTCTATATGTTTGCTTCCCTGTTTGTCGTATTGTGTACTTAATGTGCTGGCCCAGCATTTATGAAGACTTGCAGTAGACCAGATGGCTAAAGAACAAATGCTCTTTCTTCCATTATTTCAGTGGTGTCCAAGCAATCCTGGCCTGAATTCTGGGTTTAAGGAGTCTTGTTACGTTGCCAGCGACACAAAGAACTGAACTGACAAAGCATCTATATTTACTGTATTTTCCCTAGGGAACAAAAACTCTTTGTAGTTAAAAGAATTTTATTTAAGAAAAGTAAAAATTGAGATGATATGGACATGCATAGGTTTTGGTGGGGAGGGACATACATATTATGATTTTTTTAAAAGGAGGGAGTAGTGTGTGTGTTACACTTAGCAGTAACTTGGGTTTCCCTGTTGAATGCTTTGTGGAGGATTGTCTCTTGATTACAATTAAAGAAAAATATGTCATTAAAAATGTAACTTCAGTTGTTATATGGAAAAAGCTTCAGAGTTTATCTTGTGGAGTTCAATATATTGCTAGTAATAATGCATGAGAAGGAATAAAATGTTGCTATCAGCTGTCTACTTCATATATCTGTTAGTAATGCATTTATTTGAATGTACTTGCAATTGTGGAGAACTTTTCTGAACAATTATTTTTTTAAAATCCTACAGGAAAATACTTCAAAGCTACTATATTTTTAATGTGTTAAGGAGCAGATATTTATCTAGTAAAGCCAAACTTAAATACTTACTTACTTACCATTCAACCATTCATACCAGTCAACAGAGAGGAAGAAAAGGAGGAAAATGAATGCTTTGCTTATTGTTATGGAGAAAGTGTTCATTCTGGACTGCAGTAGATCATATGAATTAATTTTTTGTAGCAGTACGGTAATTCCTGGAAGGTGTTGTTTTAATGCTACTATTTTGTAAACTTCAACTTTTCTATTTGTATCCCCCTTTTATCTGTAGGTAATGACTTGTCCTTCGAAAAGTCTTGTTATTGTTTCGTAGTATTTTCTGTGTTGAACAGCTCAATTCTCATTTACCTGCTGATAGAGTAGGTCAGGCTTGTTGGTTTGTGTGTTCCAAATCATTAATAAGAACGTTCATGAACAATTTATTGTTGTCATTGTAGTTTTGTTGCAGCTTATTAAAGAGAGGTGCAGTCTTGGGGCGTTTCAAACTGGTGGCTGAAGCATCAACATGCACTGGCAGCTGTGCCAAAGTGTATACTGAGAATAAGGCATGTCACCTGGATGAGGCTAAATGAAGTGCTCTCTCAGGAGTCCATTTGTTGAGTCTGAATGAAGGTTTACCAGAGATATAAAATTTGTTTGTGCAGGACATGTTAGTTTGTTGTTTTTCTAAAAGGTATCAGTTCCTATTTTCATGTTAACTTCAAAAGAATAAATCACTCATTTGTTTTGATATTCTCTGTGCTGCAGAATTTATTTGGCACCTCATACTAGTATTAAGGTGAAGTATTTTTAATTGGGGAAAAATATTCATTCTGTCATGACTAAGTTGCTGGCTGGAGCAAATGACCCAAGTGAAGCTGGCCATGTAAGGATATAATATCTGGTTTGGAGCTGAAAATGTTTCTTAGCTAAATAGTCAAATGTCTTTCAGCCACAGTTGCAAATAGTGTTGTTTGTATTCCATGTTGATGCAAGACTTTTTCTGCTTTTCTTTTTTTCTGCTAATGCAGAAAAAGATTTCCTCAGTTGTACTCCACGTGGTAGAGCTAAATAGTTCAGTGCTTGATTCTTGGCATAAAAAGGTCATTACTGGTTTTGTTACTAATGCTACTGTAGTTCTGTGGACTGAATCGCACAGCATTTTGTTAGACTCTTATTAGTTATGCTGTTTTGTATAAAAGGTATTAAGATAGTTAGCTGACAATCTCATAGTATTTTTTACAGTATGAATAATTTCTTCGCTGAGGTATTTGTAAACATGCACACACTTCTGTACGTTTGTGAGAATTAGGGTGACTTTTTTATTTTAAATTACAGTGTTGTGCAATTGATACATCGCATGAGATATATCTAGTTACTCTAGAACTTTCACCCAGTGTTGAGTAGTTTTGCTGGCTTCTCAACCAGCTTCAGCTACTTAGCTCCCTTGACTCCCCAAGCTGCTGTCTCCCTTTTCAACTAACTGACTAGCTGGAAGGTTATCAAGCTTATGTAGTTAGAAACCTCAGATCTTAGGAGATTTGGATACACAGGTTGTATAATAGATGAACTGTCTAAAAGCAACTTGTATCTGGGCAACTTACAGGTCTGTACAGCAGAGCAATCAGTGTTGGCATTTTAGATGTGTCTAAAACAGAATAGTTAAGAATAGTTAGCAGTTGAAGAGCAGGAATTCAAGATTCGGACTTTAGTGCTGCAGGAAAATAAATTGGAGCATATATTGTTGTCTTGTATTGTTGTGTGTGTATTTTCTGGCAGAAAACTTCTGTTCAAATATTATGTTTTGTTTTTCATATGTATAATGTGCTTTTTTCACCGCTGGAATTTACAGCAACAACATGGATATAAAAGCAAACTTTTAATCAGCAAAATTATAGGTTGCAAACTGTAGAAAGCCTGTTCCACAAAATGTGTAAGATTGTAATGACTAAAACAGAATTTATGCAGTCAAATTCATAAGAACATTTGGTGTCTCTCTTGTATCAGGAAAACATGCCAGGTTGTCAAAGTAGCAGAATGCCTAGGGTGCTTTTAATTTTTATTTTTTATTTAGCAGTTAGCCAGAATGTCTTTTCTGAGTATATTATTGTTTCATGTTTGTAGGTAATATATGCTTTGAACACTAAAAATGATGAACATGAAGCTGCTATCCAAGCCCTTAAGGATGCCCATGAAGAAGAAATTCAACAAATTCTTGCAGAGACAAGGGAGAAGATCTTGCAGTATAAAAGTAAAGTTGCAGAAGAAATGGATCTTAAGAGAAAGATCCAGGTTTTGGAGGAGTCACTGGAGGATCATAAAAAAATGAAACATCAGGCCTTGACTGAATTTGAAGCGTATAAGGATAGAGTGGAAGACATGCAGCTCTGTGCAGAAGCCCAGCATGTCCAACGTGTAGTGACCATGTCAAGAGAAGTAGAAGAGATCAGGAAGAAGTTTGAGGAAAGGCTACGAAGTTTCATACAGTTGCAAGTGCAATATGAAAAGGACAAGCGTTCAGCTCTGGAAGACTTGAGAGCTGCACATAGGCTTGAGATTCAAGAACTTCTGAAGACTCAACAGAATCAGAATGCAACCTTGAGTAAAGGGCAAGAAAAGCTAGAGGAACTGCACAGGCTGGAACTTGAAGACTTGAATAATAAAGTTGAGGAATTGAGACTGGAAAGAAAAAAACTCATTGAGGACTATGAAGGTAAACTCAGCAAAGCACAGTCCTTCTATGAACACGAACTTGATTCATTGAAAAGATCCCAGCTTTTTACAGCTGAAAGTCTGCATGCTTGCAAAGAAAAAGAGGTGGAGCTAAGGAAAGAGTTTCAAAATCAAGAAAGTATTTTACGGAAGAATCTGGGAAAACTTAAAACTGAATTGCAAATGGTCCAGGATGAAGCTGCCAGTCTTCGGGAAAAATGCCAAAAACTTCAGGTGGCTCTTAGTACAGCAGAAAACAATGTTCAGGTGAGGTCAATCCTATGTTGTTCCAAAAATGAGTTTATTTATTTCTTTCGTTTTCCAGTTTAGGCTGCCAGACTGTTACACCGAGATGATTGAAACATGTAAACTGAATTTTCTACTATTCATAATTGTTTTTCATCCACTCTAGATATTTTATTTATATTATTTAGTTTTCCCAGTCTGAATTAATATATATTTGTTTATATTCCAGTAGACTCTAGATATCCCAATCATGGGAAAGTTTTGTTCTCCTTGTACAAGCAAAATGACTTGCTTTCCACTATGCATGAACAGAAGTTGGTTGTTCCAGTCATATTACCCGAAGTACAGTGTACTGAACAAAGTATTCAAAACCATTGCTACTTAGGGAACAGGAAAAAAAAAAGTCTTGCACAAGTATGTTTTCCTTAGTTCTCCATGTAAATTCATCTATACCTCCCAGAACAAAAGGTTCAGAGGGGGAAGGAAGATGCTGATGACTGATAATGTGTAAGTTGTTATGCTGATAAATGGAAACACTTGCTAGAAAAGATGAGAAAAAGTTAAGAAGCAGCCTAATATATTTTACAGAAATTTAATAGCACAGACTATAAATAGGATGAATATTCTGTATTCAGTGCAGTTGTGGTTATAGAGATCTTTGGTGACTATCTGGCCTAAGCATCCAGAGTGTTAAGAAGAGTGGCTTTTTGAGAAGAAAAAAAAACAAAAACTTTCTGGATGTTAGCTTTGCTGGCTTTATAACAAAAAGAGCCTTCTGTGATGTTTTTACAGACAGTAACTGAAATGCTGAATATGTGTTCAGAGTTATTTTGATTCTGAAGTTGCTGTTCAGTGCTAATGTTTCTTGTCCATAAAGAAGGACAAGACATCCCAGACAAGACATCCCTGACATACAAAGACAGGCCTTTTGGTCAGCAGAGAGATAGGACTATGTATGTTGTCCTTAAAGGAAAAGTATCTGTGAAATACCACTCGCTTTTTGTAACTGTGCCTAGTTATAAAGATCTCTGTGGAAGAGCTTAAATATCTCACTTCGAGCAGTTTTAGTAACGTTTGCAAGTATCTTAAATATGATAATTATAGCAATTCTGAAAGAATCCAGGACCTCATTGGTTTGAGCTGAGATATATCATCAACTTTTCCCATCTATAATCTAATTCCAGCCAATCCTTTGAACTATTTTGCTGTTATCTTGTGTAATGGCTACAGATAAAAGAAGACTCCCTTATTCCTGTATCAGAAGATGAATACAGAATAGTCTTTTTTTCCAGTCTCTCAAAGGGTCTTCCAAAAGTCCATTTCCAATCTGTTTAATTAAGGAGATTGAAAACTGCTGTAAGCATCTAATGTATTCTTCAGTTTGAAGAACTCTGAGATATGAGAAACCAGGTTTCTCAAATGGATCCTGAAAATTTGTGCACTGTGTTTATTTTTCATATACATTTCTGAATATTATTGCACTTTGCTTTACGCTTCCTTGTCATGCCATATATCTTCTATGATATTTTTGGAAGCTCACATCATGGATATGATGTTAATGTTACTAGATTTCAGTTTGTGTTGAAATAAAATTTGTTTGCTGACAGGTCTTTTCTGTACATTTTCACCTAATGCTCATTTCAGTGTTATTCTATATAGTTAGACGTTATACCATGTTTCCTATAGGTTCTTCAAAAACAGCTAGATGACGTGAAGGAGGAAGAGATGTCATTGCTAAGCAAACATAAAGAAGTGGAAAGTGAGCTAGCAGCTGCCAGAGAGCGCTTACAACAGCAGGCCACTGATCTTGTTCTCAAAGCCAGTATGTATGTTAGTAATGTGATCTAAAAAATGATCTTCATCTACAGATTCTAGCATTTCTTTTTTCTTTGGAGCTTGTGGAGGTTTAGCATGCCTAAGGACTGTTTAATGCTCTTCGTAGAATCATAGAACTGCTCAGGTTGGAAAAGACCTTAAAGATCATCAAGTCCAACTGCAGCCTGACCATACTATCCTAACAACCCTCCACTAAATCATGTTTCTGACAAGCGTTCTTTTGTTAACTGTTTTGATATTGCATAGTTTGCACTTAGGATTTTTTTTCTGTATGTGTAATTAATTGTATACAAGTACAATGTTTTACTTTGTGTGCTCTGTATATATCTTATAGGCCTTGAATCATCTTGCATTAACTACATGTCATGATTTCATCACACTTGTATAATATGCTTCTATATTGCATCTGTGTGTTCTCCATGTAATCACCAAAAAAAACATTATTCCTGTTTCTCCATCCTTTTCATTTGCTTTGTGCTTTCGCTGAGGCAGTGGTACTTTGCTTTACCTCGGCTTTCAGAAGATATGTAGTTTATTTGTTAATAAATTTGTTAGGATTTTCTTTATAGCTGTTTTCTTGACTTCTCTGTGCTTAATAACATATGAAATGACATATAAATTGTTTTAACACTTGATTGTACATGTGTGGATTTTTACCTCGTTAGTATTGTATCTGTAGCAAACTGTTTGGTTTGGGCATGTGATTGGGCATGGACTTGAACTTCATTAACTGTGCTGTAGGTAGACTAAAAATAAGCTCCTGGCTTATCTTTGGCCTTATTTGACTAGAGCAATCTTAGAAACATCTGATTATTTTCCAGAAGTTAGCAAAAATGGGGGGGGGGAGGTCCTTCCCAAGTGTCAGTTGGGATAAGATCACCTTCTTTTGAGGGCTGGGATGTTGCCAGACTGGATCAATTGGTCTTGGAGACAGAAAATAATTCACAGCATTAATTTGCAAATACTCTGAAGTTACTATTACAGATGGCTACATATGGCCTAGCCCTTGAATGGTATGTGTAAATGTGGCCTGTATCAAGGCTTTATTTTTTTTTTTCCTTCAAATAATGAGGCAGTTTCATAGATTGGACTAATTGTATTTGCCATCTGGAGAGCTTTATGCTTAGGACATACATACTATGCATGTAAGGGCTTGGAAAAGGATAGGTTTTGTATTTTGACAATATAGAAGCCATATGGGACCCGAAAAACTATGAGGTCCTTCTGGATTTAAATAGCTAAAAGGAATATGTTTCCTGTTAAGATAATCTTAGTCATAGCTTTCAAATGGGATGCTGATCCTCCAAAAAAACAAAAAGGCATCAAAAGCAAGCCTCTGACCTGCAAATATTTAGTTGCTTTTTAGTTGCTTAGCTTTTAGTTTTAGTTGCTATTCCTTGCATGCTGATTAAAATTAAGAGTTTGATAACACGTGTTTGCCACTGGACTTCAGTGTTTGGTTTTCTTTTATGTAGCTTATTATGGGGTAAAAATGCGTGGTTTTAGGTGAGGTTAGTTCTTTGGGATTGATTGTGCATCTTCTTAGTCCTGCCTACTTCTGTGTTCTTGGAATCAATATGCAACTTTGAAGCAGCGAAATTGAAACTAAAGGAGCCCCAACGCCAAAGACTCTGCAATTGTTGGATGTTTTTAACAATAAAAATAAAAAAGAGTAAAATGGAGGGGAAGTAAGCATTGCAGTGAGTGTGGAGATCCACATGAAAATTTCCACTAAAGTTTTTTCTAGAAGTCATTAGGGTATGAATGTGTACTTCATTTACAAGACCAATTACATGAGGTTTTAAAGAGTTTTGTTTTTAGGTCACATTGGAACGCTTCAAGCTACCCAGATGACACAAGAAGTTACAATCAGAGATTTGGAATCAGAAAAGTCTAGATTAAAAGAAAAACTATCCCAACTGGAAGAGGAAAGAAACTTATTACAAAGCAAAACACAGAGTCTGGATGAGCGACAAAGGCAGCAGATTCTGGCCTTGGAGAAGGTTAGACAACTTATTTGCTTCAGCTGTATAAGAGCAGAAGACTTATATTCATTTTTTCCTTATAAATGTATGTTTTAATTTTTAAGTTTGACCTGGTTTGGACCAGTATTAGTTTGTTTCAAGTGTACCTTACATTGCAACATAGAATAACTAATGTAGACTGTAAAGTGAGAACAGAGGAAAGTTAGGTTAGATACTGTTCATGTTCTTTCAGACATCTTAAAAACGGCATCATTTTACATATTATGATAAGCACAGATACCTAATATCAAAAGTGTCTTGTTAGAGAGAAAGGTGAAGTGCTTAAATAACTTTAAAAAAGATTCTCTAAAGATCTTTGGTATATATTTGAAAACAATGAACTGAAATTTTCTGCAGACTTGATACCTGATTGCTCTTTCTTCAGATTAAATAGTACAAAACCCAAATTTTAATACAGACATATTGTTTGCCTGGATATACTTAAACTGCTTCTTTGCTTGCTTACTGAATTAATAAGTGTTTAGTGTCTGCTCAGTTTTGTGAAAGTTAATTTTTTTAGATTTATGTTATCAGTAAAGTTTTATGTATTTCCTCTTAGTTTCCTTCTACATTCCTATTTGAATTGTGGTAGGATTTTGTTACCCTTGAATACAAATGATTTTTTTTGTCTCCATCTTTTATAGAAAGTAAATGAAGCAAGGGAGACGCAGCGTGAATATTATGAGAAGGAGTTGGTAAAACTGCAAGCAAGGTTAGAAGGAGAGGCTGCACAGTTGAAAGAGGCTCATTCAAAAACATTAGAAGAATTGGCGTGGAAACACCATACTGCAATCGAGGCTGCACACAGCAACGCTAATAAGGATAAGAAAAAACTGCAGATGGTAGGTTTGTTTTCTTTGAATAATCAAACAAATTCAAAAAATGCAGATGGTATAATTTGAACCCCATAGTGCATCATTTTGATGAAAGGCAAATTTTATCTGCGGATTTGTTGAACCACTCTGAAGAAATTGCTCAGTCTTTTTTAAAGTAACATATATCTAAGAGAACAACAACAGAAAACTCATGCTCTTCTCTTTATAGAGAAGAATTCTCAACTCAAAACAATTAGCATTGTAATGAGGACTACTGCTTCTTAATTTAACAGGCATCTTTTTCCAGTTCTTGTGGCCCGTGAATGGTCGATATTTCACTCAAGATCAGTTTTTCAGCATCTTGAAACTGAAAGGCTTGCTGCAGTTATAGAATTGGCCTTTTGGGATAAGAGAAAAATGTTTTTGCTGTAGTCACTGATGCTTAGGGAAGGTAACTTACTGAGGGACACTGTGACACTCTTGTCTTTTGTAAGTAATTAAATTAGCTTTCAGTATGTAATGGTCTTTCCATATGACTGATGAAAATATTTGCATCTTTTATGTTATTGTAAAACACATTTGCATCAATGATGTCTTTATTAGTTTACTTCATTATGTCTTGGCTACCTTCCAAAACATTTTTTGGAAGAATCAGTTACTAAAACTAATGTAGAGAGTAAAACAGAAGGCATCATAAAATAGTTGTTCTTAAAAGTCGTGAAATTAGAGATGTTACCTATTTTAACTATAAATGTGAGAATTGTGAAACTTGATTCTAGTCAGGGGAAGTTAACTTATATAAGGATGTCAGCGTCTAGATCTCAATAAATCTTAATCACTGTACTGTCTCCTCTGTGGAATGTATGACCTGAATCACAATTTGGGGGTTTTGAGTAATTCAATAGAGAAAAAGATGGTATCAGATGGTGAGAGGTGTTGAGTTTAATCTGTGGAAGAAGCATGATCGAGAAACCTTTGGATAGTGGAAGTGGAGATTTCTTTGGTACTGAAAGACTAGGAAAGTCATCTGGTAGTCTTTGGAAAGAATGGGGCATGAAGAGACTTCTAAAGAATGAGAATAGAACCCTGAAGAAATAACTTAAATTTCTTTGCATCATTTTTTTTCCATTTGTAGAATGGACTGCTGCCATTTCTGTAGCTTATCAGCAGATAAAAAGATGAAAATAGAAATGCTAATAATTTTTCAGTACTGCACAGCTAAACTGAGAGGTGTCATAAAGAATCTAATTACTGAGCTATCAGAATAGAGTCTGAATGGCACCAGTGAAATTTTGCAAACAGCAGATCATGATATGAACAGAGCAAGTCTAACTTAACAAGTATTATTTGTCATGTGATGAGTTATCTGGGCCTGGTAAAGAAAGCAGATGTTTGTTATGTTGTATAGCAGTGTATTATACAAAATACAGCCCTCTATTTTGTCACTTTGTCCAGCTTTTACCACAATCAAACAGAATTATTTCAAGCTGTGTGCAAACAGCTTGAAATAAATTATTATAGTATATTGTAATAAATAGAGTGCTTGAGTTAATAAACTACTAGGCTTAATATGCTCACCACCAGCATGAATAATCAGATAAAGAAGGGTTGGCCTCCATTTCTTCTTGGAGTGAGCCAGATGACAATATGTTGCTGTTCCTTAGAGTTTTATACCTTTTTATGACAATCTTTTTCCTCTTGAATTTTTGAGCTATGAATCTTCCTTTCTCCAGAATCTTACTGATGCTTCAGTTGTGCTTTTTGTGTCATGCAAGTCTCTGGTCTATGTATTTTCTCATAACTGCTTCTTAGATATTACTGATTTCTTAGAAGTCTGAGCCAAGGCATTCACAGATGCTGTGAATTGATGCTTACCCTTGCATTATAGCTGAATTCCTAGTAGGAAGTTAATAAGGGAGCCAGTAGTGGCATAGATTGTTACATTAGAGTCCTGTATTTACCTGGCTCTGGAGCACCTTACTTGGCAACTTTAATTGTCTACAAGGTGGCTTGGTAGTGTAATGAGTTATGTATTATTCAATTGAAATATGTAATAAAGCTGTTAGTTTTAACATACTTCAGTCTAAATGTGACTGAAAATTCATTCTGAATATTAATAAAGTAAATCTGAAAAATAAAATTACATTTTTCTTCAGCAAAAAAACTTCCAACAAAGGCACAATGTAAACTCACGTAAGAGAAAAATAGCTCATCCAACAGAGCTGTTTTCAGAACTCTGTTGTTAACAATTTTCATTCAATTTTTGTAGAGCTGATTATATGCATGTAGCTGAAATTGAAAGCAAGATTTCTTTCAATTCTATATAGAATTTATTTTAATTGCAGAACTAACAGAAGGCTGAACTGTGAAAGTAAGTAGCTGTGGTTCTAATGATTTTTCTAATTAAATGCAAAGCGAAACGAGTAATTGAGAAGGAAGTCCTGCGTAACTTTATTTTGTGGTTAATCAAGGATGTTAGATGACAAATTGAAAAATTAATGCCTCCGTCTTAATTGGACATAAATGTTCATGTTTTAACACTTGGAGGAAATGACAATTCCTGCTTGAGATAAGGAGTATTGTTTTTGCCAGGATGAAGAGTTGTCATGTGTTATACTTGTACTTTTTTGTAATCTTACTGCAGGTGTGCTTGATATTTCTTTTACTCTTATTTCTGAAGGAGTTAGAGCAGCAGTTTGAGAAGGAGAAACTGCATTTGGAGGATGACAAGAATCAGCTTCGACAGCAGCTGGAAAACCTGAGGGAAGAACTGACAACGAAACTGACTTCTGCCAATCAGGAGGCAAGAGTCAACTTAATTGTATCAGCTAACATTTCTGTGTTTGATCATCTGTACATTTAATCAGTAATGATCTTGTACTTAATTTGTGCTTAGAGTCCAGTACTACAGGACTACAGTGTTGAGTCTGTGTAGTGTATTAATTCTATCAAAAGTAGAATATTTGTCAAGCACGGTAAGTTACTTGACTGCTTCTGAGCAATGGATTAATTGTCTTCTCCAAAAACATCAAAACAAAAAAGTATAAAAAAAAAATTGATGAGAACAAACCTGCTTGTGTTAACTCTGCTTATCTTCTCATTAGATATTTAGATCTCTACACAAAGTATGTCAAGAAAAAGGGGGGGAGGGGGGAGAATTATATTTAAGCCATATTGGTTCATAATTAGCATGCAGTAAAGAGCACATTCTTAACTACAAAATGTTATTTTTCAGCATAGTCACCACCACTAGCTATGCAAGTTACTTTTGGAGCAGTACCTCCTATATTTCCAGCAAAAGATTGTGTGCCATTCTAGCTTATAAGGAGACAAATTATTTACAGTGTACTAATATATTGATATATGCAGTCTAGGTTAAACATATTCTCAAAATATTTTTACTCTGAGTTTAAAATACATTAAAACCTGCTAGTTTAAATCTTTCTTTTTGCTCTTATGTAATCGGTTGTTTGTTAGTTTTTTTTTTTAATTGTTCAAGAGACCATACATGGTTTTCATGTATGCTTTAAAACAGACTTTGAATTTAAGCATAAATTTAAGTACTTTTTTGCAGTAGTACATATTCTAGTACCATACTAGATCTGGATGCAGCAGGTAGTTTTCTAATTCTTCTGGCTTGCAACCTGTACAAATGTTACACGTTCTTTAGAAGAAAACTTCTGAAAGTGTACATGTACTATATTTTGGAAGTCATTATCTTTAGAGTTCAGCAATAGTGATGCTAAGTCAGTTGTGAGACCTTGTTAAACAGTGGCTCCTTTGTAGCTCTGATTCCCTTTGCCAATAATTCAGATGTTGGAAAATGTACTAATTGAAGCTGAAAGTGCACTGGCTGTCTTTGATAGTATGCTTGCCAACATTTAAATTGATGAAAATACAGTGCATTTGTTATGTGTGAGCTAAACAGTTATACATTCATTTCAAAAGTTTTATCTTGGAAAATCAGTCAGTACACTGAGTTAAAAAAAACAAAACAAAACAAATACATAAGCATGGCTGAGGAATAGGCAACTATAACATAAACCAAAATAGGAAATTAGTGCCATCTGCTATTTAATAGTTGAGCATAAATATAATATAGTATATTTTGAATATTAGGAGAATGAGAGAAAGTGTGCAGAAATTAAATTTGGGGTGGTCTATAAATCTGCTCTGCAGTACAGAGGCAATCTGTTTTATTTTCTCACTATATTTATCTGAAGTATGTGAGCTTCACAGTTGGCAAGTACTTCACAGTTTTAGTTCTCTGCTGACAATTGAAAGTGGCTTCACAGACCTCAGACAAACTTCTCTGTGAAATGTCTAGCATGCCTTTAGATTTTTCTCTTATGTTTCAGCTGCTTCTTCCACTTTTGTTGTTGTTTTCTTTTTTTTAAAATTTTTTTAAGAATAAGCATATGTAAGAGTAGGCATGTATTTATCACTTTCTGTGGATGTTAACTTGGTTCTGGCATCTCCACTGAAAAGGTTGTTTTTGAACCTTTCCCATCATTAGACACGGGGCATTTTTAGCAGCACCTTTCTGAGCCAAAGTATGGGGAAAGCCTCATTAGGACAATTGCTAAAAAAAAAAAAAGCTACTTATTGTCTTAAATGCTTGCCTGATATTTCTTTGAGAGTTCTGATAAGTCAAGATACCAAGTTTTTCATGTCTTAGGATGACTTTCCTTTTTTTTTTTTTTATCTTTTTAGTTGTTATTTATTTATTTTTTTCTCTTCCTTTCACCTTTGACCAGTCAAGACCTTTTGGCAAGTCTGGTTCTTTTTAAGTACTGGCCATCTTTTGCAAAGGATTTCTGGTAACGTGACTATGGGTCATTTTAAACAGTCATCAGCAGTGCATTGTCATTAATGGACTAGGTCTAAACTTCATGAATGGCACAATTACATAAGATTTCCTTATCATTTTGATCTGTAGGACTGTTGTTAATTTTTACTGCAAGTGATGTGGTACTGCCAGGTACGTAATGATGTATCTCAGGGATGTTGATACAATTTTAGGAGCAGTTTTCCATGTAGGGATTCTCCTCTAACTAGAAGTGCTTTGTAGGGAATTACTAGTTTGCATATATTGAGAAAGATCCTAGAGGTAAGTGCTTAAAATGATATTAGTTTTTCCTCTAACACCTGTCATGCCAAAGCAATTTGGGATTCCTTGCTGATGAGAAAGGAGTAGTCCCTCTTCAACATTTTATGGGATTGCCTAAAGTGGGAGAGAGTTCTAGGTGTGTGTGTGTGAGTGGGTGGGGATGGATGGATGAGTGTTTGTGTGCATTTAGAGTAGCTAATAGTACTTGCATGTAATTTTGCTGACATACAAAAACAGCAGTTATTATTGCCTGTTCATACTCAGAAACCAAAAATTAGTCTTTTAAGACAGTTGTGCCTTGATATTTATATCAACAGAAAGAGACTATGATAGGCTATTGCTTCTTTAAAATCTTAAATTCCTTTTAGCTGTTGTTCTTTGGTCTTGCAGGCCTGCCATTATTCTGTTTTTCCAGTCTGCACATTTAAAAACTTTTCCCCTTTTTTATAGCTAGTTCACACTCTTAAAGCAAAGGAAGTGTAGTATTGTTTTACAGATGGAGAGCTGAGGAACAGTCAGCCAAACATGAAAGTATTGCTATGAGTAGTTAGGAATATGGGTACCTTAATTACATACTTTGAGAAACACAGGAGATATGATATGTCTACAGGCTCTTCTGTGCAGGATGACAGGTTATCTCTGTTGTGTGGTGACTCCACATACCTCAGTATCATCTCTTGGTTACTATTCGGTGGACTTTGTACAGAGCCTGTGGTTTCTCACCAGCACTCTGTGCAAGAATTTGTAACATCAAACTTTGGAAGACTAGAGTAATCACTAACAGCATAACTACTACTACCACTGCAGATGCTGTGTGTAGATCACTAGCAGTAATAGTTAATAACAAATGAAAATGCCGTGGAAAACAATACCACAGATTAAGCCAAAATCTTGGCTGCAATGTAAGAATGATAAAATTATTAGAGAACATCCAAAGGAGATCTACAAAGTTGGTGAACACTTTAGAGGGCAAGATGTATGAGATGCTGCTGAGGTCTCTTGGTTTGCTCAACCCCAAGAAGAGGAGGCTGAGGGGAGGCCTCATGGCAGCCTGCAGTTCCTCAGGAGGGGAGAAGAGGGGCAGCGCTGAGCTCTGCTCTCTTGTGACAGGGAATGGTGTTGAGCTGCATCAGATTGAGGACTGAGGAATGGCTCTTCCCCAGAATTTGTTTGGGCATGGGCACAGGCTTCCCACGGTGATTGTCAGCCTTAAACCTGCTGGTGTTCATGAAGATTTGAACAGTGCTCTCAAAGAGTTTGAATTTGGGGTGGTCCTCTGTGGAGTCAGGAGTTGCGCTCCGTGATCCTTGTGGATCCCTTTCAACTTGATTCTACGTCTCTGTGATATGGTCACATAACAGATATTAGGTTGAGCTTTAAATGGCTAACTTATGGACAATCTGAAGACGGGGAACATAAATATTGGCACAAGTTAATTTTAATTTTATCTGTTTATGTATTTCATAATAGTTTCTTGTTATTTTAATTTGCATCAAATGTGCTTTCTCACAGTAAAAATAGTGCTAATTTCAGAACTTTTGTGTAACCTCATTCCTTGTTTAATGTTTGAAATCCTTTTATCCTTGTTTAATTTGTTTAACTTGCAGTATATTACAATTTAGCTCTAATACACAAAGATTAAGTGATATTAAAAGAGAATAGAACAGGCTGTGCAAAGAAAAAGATAATTTGAATTAGAAATTGATAGAAGGAAATGAAACCAAGTTGACTTGGCTGTTATTAATAATAATTATGTAATTAGTTTTTTTTTTTTTTAATTATATATTGAAGGTGTGTCGTCTGCAAGATCTTGTACGAAAAAGTGAACAAGGCCTTGGTACTGCAGAAGGACATATCTCCAGTCTTCAAGAAGCTCAGGAAATACTACAGAAAGAGCTAGAGTTAACTAGGGCAAGACTGCGAGAGACCACAGATTCTCTATATAATATTGAGGTAAACATAATGTTGGAGAATAAACTGTGCAAAATACCATTGCAGTGATTTCAGTCTTTTATTAAAATGGAAAGGCATATTATAGTTCATACATTATTGAAAGAGGTTTATATAGTTCCATTAAAAAACCATTTTTACTTCTTATTCTCAGCTAAAATGAAAAATCTGAAAATCTTTTTTTTTTTTCTAAAGAAAATTTCTAATGTTTGATGCATGTTGCTGCAAACACATTTTTGATAGTTAATATAACTGTAGTGCTTTTTTTGTAGTTAATATAAACTCTAGCTGCCAAAGTATGCCTGTGCAAAATATATCCAGAGTTGAATTTTTCAGGGATTTGAGTGAATGTAAGAATTTCATGAGAATGTAAAAAGGATTGTGTTAAGCCACTCCTAATCCAGACAATAGATGCTAAACAATACACAGAACAAGACTCCAGTTATAGAGTTATTTGAAAAATTTCTTATTGTTTTTTGGTTGGTTGGTTTGTTGGTTTTGTCTTTCCCTAGAGGTCTTGCATCATACCATGTTTACCCCAAATAATGGTCAGTCTTTATTTTGGGCTCAGATTTCAGAAGGTCCTTAAGAATAGTTTAGAGATATATGCAATGATACTTCAGAAGATGACAGACTTATATCCAGAAAATGTAACCTCTTTACACAAAACAACCCATCTGTCTGATCATAATATTTTGTCAACTTAGTATCTTTGTCAACTTAGTAGCTTGTCTGGCCTCTGACCTTTGCTCCAGAGATGAAAAGGTCTTATTAGTCCCACAGTTTGTCAGCTCACTTCTTACACACCTGAGACATTAAAATCTTTATTAATATTTCTTCTGCTGTGTAATAATTAGAAATTAATTCCCATTTTATTTCCAGTGAGAAAATGGGGAAGGAGAATGTATTTGTTGTTGTTGTTGTTGTTGTTGTTGTTGTTGTTGTTGTTTTTTTAGCAGAATTTAAATCATAGGTATTTTTCTATGCCTAGGCACTGTTTAAATAAGATATAGAGCTTCTACAGATACAAGACAGTCTCAGAAAATAGTAAAACAAACATGAGTTAGCATGCGTGAACAAATCTTTTAAAATGCACGAGACTCTAAAGAACTGAACTCCAAGTAGTTTGTCTACCTTCACCTACACTATCCGTCATTAAAATCACAATAAAATAAGATGTAAGATTACACTGTGAGGATTATTACTATTACCTTCTAAGGAAGAGAATATCAGATATGAATGTAAAGTTCTGAAACAATGCTAATTTGTTAGTAACTCATCAACTTTAATACTAAGTATATATTTTTTTCTCAGTAAATGGAGAACATTTACAAGATCATAGCAAGCATTTGAAGTATTTGCCCAGAGAGGTTGTGAATGCCCCAGGTGTGGAGGGTCAGGCTGGATGTAACACTGCTGATCTAGTGACTGGTGACCCTGCCCATGGCAGGAGGGTTGAAAATACATGATCTCTGAGGTCCTTTTCAACCTAAGTTATTCTATGATTCTATAGAGCAGCAAATATTTAAGAAAATGATCCCTGAATCTGATTTCATAACTGGTGTTATTTTCTGCAAAGAAACAGCTTGAAACAGGATTTTGTTCTGTTGTGGACTTTTTGTTTTTTTTTTGTGTGTGTGTGCGTTTTGTTTCTCCAGCTGTGGCCATTGGATGTACAACTTCATACAAGTTTATTACTTTCTCAGTATTTTTAAAAATTTCTCTAAATGTTCAGTGGCACAACATTTTTCTTAAGAGATCTTTAAAACTAAATGAAAAAATACTACAAAAAAATTATCTTTTGAAAAAAAAACGATTAACATGTAGATGGCCATGGTTGCTTCTCGTGAATGAAGAAAGCATTGCTGAGAGATATTCTTCTAAGTATGAATCTTGGTAGTATGTAATACGATTTAAAATGGTAAAATCTGAACAGAAATGGATAAAAATTCTAAATTCCGAAGGTTTTTTTTGTTTGCTTTTTTCTGTATTCAGACTGTGTTCCTGCTAGTCAAGAAATAAAAAGAGACGTGAACTGTGTATCTAATCCAGATTGTTCAAAGTTTGTAATTCAGGTACTAATTCCTGATTTAAAAAACAAACAAACAAAACAAAAACAACAAAACAACCAAAAATCTGACAAGAACCTGATTGACCTGCTCAAATTTTGGTGTTGGTCTTGCATTGATTAGAATCGGAAGACCTCTTGAGATTCTTTCTAACAAATTGTTCTGCAGTTTATTATGGCTGTCTTGGAAAATATTAGTTCAAAAATTACTTATTAGGAAATTCCTTTTTATTACATGTTAGAGGAAATATGTTCCAAAAGTATGCAATGGAAGTAAGGCATTAATCAGAAGGTACTTAGTGAAAAAGTAATAGTCCAAGTTTTGTAAGCCAGTTGTAACTGAAATCTGTTAGAAATGTAAATATAGAAATATAAATGTTAGGTTTATAAATGTAAGGTTTGAAATACTTTTTTTTGCTGCTGATCAGTCTCTATTGTGAAGTTTGTGTTTGCAGGGAGAACTAGACCAGGAGAGACAACAGCATGAGATAATGATTGCTGCCATGAGAGAAGAAGAAAAGTTCAAAGTTGACAGAATGGCTCGTGACTTGGAAATCAAATGGACAGAAAATCTTCGGCAAGTATTGATTTTTAGTATTTATTTCTTATTTAAGGAATAAAAGTAGGTATTATGTGCAAATGTAATAGCAAATGAAAAGCAAAACAAAGCTTTTTGTTATTATCTAAGCATTTCCATTTGTTGCTGAACTCTTAATTCTTTTTCACTTCTCGAATTTTAGTTATTTGACCTTTACTTTTAGACAGGAATGTAATAAGCTTCGTGAAGAGCTGAGACTTCAGCATGAAGAAGATAAGAAGGCAGCTATGACTCAACTATTGCAGCTTAAAGAACGTGAAAAAAATGCAGCCAGGGATGGATGGCAAAAAAAAGTTGAAGATCTTCTAGACCAGGTAATATGGTCCCTTTGAGAATTTGAAGGTCATTACAATTTAGTCACTTTATTACCAATTAGCTACTTGAAATTAGTTGTGACATCTCTCTTTGAGAAGTATTTTCTTACCATAATGATTTTTTAAGCCTATTAATTATTGAACTCTACGAGAGGTAAAGGTATCTTAAAATGATACTAATGTCTTTCTTCATATTAAAATTGAATAAAACTTTTGAAGATTTTTCCTGAGGTAGTGGGAGTCTCACCTTTTCACTGTAAGATTTATCTATTTTTGTTTATTGTCTCTCTGCTCACCTTTATTTACCAAAGCTAATACTTTAGACTTGATGTTATTCCATATCTTTACAATAAAGTAATGTACAGGTCACTGGAAGGCCAAAACATCCCTCAGCTACTATGACATGTTTATTACAGTTGTAACAAGAGTTTTATTGGAGAGTTTGTGAGTGAAGAAATGAACTGCATATTCTGTAAAACTTTTTTTTTTTTTTTTTTTTTAAATTCCTTTCACTGTACCAAGAACTTGCATCATTTATGAATAGCGTGCGTCTTTGGACTAACAAGAAACAAAAGCAAGAGAGACTTCAGTTGTATTTTTAATCCAAGTGTTGCTTTTCCATGTCAGTGTTTGAGTTGGGTAGTTATTTCATAAAGACTGAAAGATTATTATTGATGGTGGTATGGAATTAAGCTTTACATCTGTAAGCGTTTACAGTTAATTAGTTTCTACATTTTATCCATTACCTCTGGAAGGGAGAGAATTTCAGACTATAGTGTCAATGATGGATAACTTAACTCTTAGAGAAACGGATTTGTAGTAAATTCCTCTTGATTGCATTCACAAAGGACAGTTGTACTGGGTTGAATTATAGAATCATAGACTTGATGAGGTTGGAATAGACCTCGAAAAGTTATGTAGTCCTATCTCTTTTTCAAATCAGAGTCAATGTTGAATTTGGCAAGTTGGTTAGGGCTTTTTCCAGCCAGATCTTGATCACTACCACGCATGAAGACTCTATAGCCCTTCTGAATATTCTGGTCTAGTGCTTAATTATCCTCACAGTAATTTTCTTTTTTTTCCTTAATCAGAACCTCCTCTGTTTCAGTTCATGATTGTTGTCTCTCATTTTCTGTTATACATTGCTGTAAAGAGGTTGTTTACATCTTCTCGCTAACTTGGTAATGGAAGGCTAAAGCCTTTGCTTCTTTACACTGAACAAACCTAGTTCCCTTGGCCTGTTCTTGCAGTGTGCATGCTCCAGTACCAGCCATCTTCACAGTGGCTCCTTTCTGAATGTCTTCAAGTTTATCAGCGTTATTGTGGGGCAAACAAAGATGACTGAACTGGAGGAAGAGAGACTGTGTTCCTTCCGAGTGAAATGCATCAAATGCCATGTCAAGGGAACTAAGTACTTCCCTGAAACTACTGCTTGTTGCTACAGCCCAGTATGCTGCTGGCATTCGTTGCTGCCAGAGTCTACTGCTGAGTCATGTTTAGCCTACCATTAACTGGATTATGTGCAGCGGAGCTGTAAAACACTATGTACCAGTGCAGAAGCTTAGTCCATCCCAGGGGAAGGACTTTGCATTTGTCCTTGTTGAATTTCACGAGGTTCCTATTCGCTCACAACTTTAACCACTCTAGATAGTACCCTTGCCTTTCAGTGTATTTTGTCCCCTCTTCTAGCACCCCCCAGCTGTCATCCACAGATGCAGTTATGATAATTCCTGTGTCCTCCTTCAGAACACAGAGGCACCTTAAAAAAAAAAATTTAAAAAAAAAAAAAATCCTTGCAAACTCTAGTTGTAGAAGTGTTTCAAGTAGAGTACCATTGACTATTGCCCTTTGAACTTTGTACGCCAGTCAGTTCTTATCTGGCAGTCTATCCATCTGAACTGTGCTACAGCTGGACACAAGAATGTTAAAAATCTTGGTAAGGTCAAGGTTGCAGACATCCTCTGCTTCCTCTTTATCTACATATGTAATCATTTCATTATGGAAAAAAATCAAAGATGGTGTTTTCAGTGTGGAAAAGAGTGGGGTTTTTTTAGTATGCGTTTCACAACATAGAGTTGACTATAGACTTTGGCTGCATCAGTCAAAGTCATGTTATTGTTCTGCTTGGACTTACTTCAGCACTTTAAAAATTTGTGCAATAAGCTCATCTCAGACAGCCCCAGAGAGTTTATAGTTTACTTTAAACAGACTGGTGCAGTACTGAAATGAGATTCTTCTTTTACATGTACATGTGTATGAAGTCAGCGATATTAGGAAGAATTCCAATTTTCAGTTTAATTTTGTCAAAAGAATGTTTTTTTCATTTCAGTTTCCTCTCAAACATGCTAAGTAGAACACCCTAAGATACTGTAAATTTGTTACATGTGGTCCCAGTCTTAATTAGTTGGAAGAAGCATTTATAACTCATCTGAAAATCCATATCATTTCTGGGAATAGAGCAAGGTTCTGACTCATCTTTCTGTAGTTTGGATTTTTGCACCTGAAGCATTGCTCTAGTCTAGTCTAGTACAGCAGTACTGTACAATCATTTATCAAAATAATACAAGAGCAAAGGCTCATGCTCTCTACAAAATCATTTGTAAACTCTCAACTTGGCAGAAAATGTGGTCTGTGCTCTTTATGTTGAGAAAGTGACTAGATCCTGACCTTTTGTTGTATAAATGCTATTCAGAAAGGTTTAATTCATAAATTAATTTCTCTTCAGTATATTGAGGTAGAAGGCATTTCAGAAGAATCTAATAAAACACAAATTATTTGGGGGAAGGAGGGAACTGTAACAAATTACTTCTAGACAAAAATGAATAATGTGTATTTGACAGATATAACCCAAGTTTAAAGGACCTAAGTATTATTTTTCACAGATTGTTTCACGCTGAACATTATATTTTATCATTGATAATAATGTGGTTTTTACTCTAGAAAATACTGTGGTGCTTCCTAAGTTTATTATAAATTTTCATTCCTGTGGGTACATTGTGAAACACAGAATAGAATATGCCTTCTTTAGGATACTCTTGATTTGCACCAGAATAGTAATTGAAAAGACACAATTATCAATGGCAACAGTATCTACATAAATAAATAAATAAACTACAACAATTTATGACCATAGAATATGCTAGGTTTTCTTTTATTATGTTATACTATTTGCCAAATTTCTACCTTCTACTAGTTGTTGCCAATTTGGTATATGAAATCTAGCTTTTACATCAAGTAAGATAATGTTTTTGCCTTTATGCCGTTACTGTCTAAGTAGTCTTTCCTAGAATGCTTGTAGGATTATTGGTTTTATAACAGAGAGTTTTGTTACAAGTAAAATAATTCCCTTCAGAGCAAATGCTTCTCAGTTGATCAAATGCTTAAGTGCATTTTTGCCAGCTGTATAACCTCGCTTACCATCTACTGTTAGATTTGTGGTTGATAGGTTAACTCGATCAGTGTCTATCTTGTGCGTAGCTCTCATCTCTGATACAAGAAATGGTGATAAAAAGCATAAAAAGAGAGTGCTTTTTATTTTTTCCCCTGTAAATTTTACTAAGTGCATCTATATCAATCCACATAGGAGTTCCTTCATGAAATATGTAAGAAATTCAGATGTAGTGGTTCTTTTCCATTTTTCTTAGCTGTGGAATGCATTTTTAATGTTTTATTTCTTAAGAAATTTCACTGCTGAGAGGACTTCACCATGAACAAAATTGAAGGAATTTTCTTTTTTAAAGCATGAGTGTGTTCTGTGTTTTGCTGCTTCATGTTCTGCAACTATCAATTGTGAGGAGAATTTAAATGCAAAGGTTTAAGAAATGCATATTCTTATATATTTCTTGTTGTGATGTTTCTTTCTGTAAATTGAATTGAGTGTTGATTGTGGATTATCTTTTCTGTATTTGAGCAAATATTGGTTTTTCTGTCTATTTTACTTTCAGTAAAACGCTTGTTCAGTAAGATAAAAGAAACTTTTTGTCAGCTTTTTTTCCCAGTTCTTAGATATTTTCATGTTATTATCTGTCAAGTATTAATGTGAAATTCTTATTTCTAACTTTGTCAACTTTTTGCATATGAAGATGCCATCATTTTTAAATAGATATGAGAGTACAGTAATGGAAATAAAAGTGCAAATGGACAAGAGTATATTGCATACATATTGCATACATATTGGTTTGGTCGCCCTTTATTATTTATTTTTTCTGCTGTAAAGTTGAAAAGGGTTTTGAAAACTATTTTGAAAAGATAGTGAAAATTTTCCATGCAGAGTTTGTTTCTATTATGGTGAGATTTCCTCTCTAAGCTTACTTTAATCTCAAAGTAAGCATAAAATTATTGATATCAAAATATAAACATTTCTTTTTGATGGAGATCTTATTCAAACTAGAATTTTCAGAAAATTTCAGGCTCATTCACAGAGTCTTGAGAACAAGCCACTGAAAATATTCTTGTTCAGAAAATAGAATGCTGTAGAAAAGTCATAAAGCTCCTATGGGCATCTATACATGACCAGTCTTCTACCTGAGGGCATTACGTTTTTATTTGCCCTGTGTTCAGAGACCACGTGCCCACATAAGCAAAATCAGGAAATGCTAATTTCTTTCCTCAGCAAAAGGGTTAATGGTTTGTTCTACAGTCTGGGTAATCCTCGGTTTAGAAGATTTGCTGTCAAATGGATGCTGGAAATTTCTACTGGAGAAAACCTGCATATACTTATACATCCATTTCCTGAAGGAAGGGAGATTAAGGATCATTGTACCCTTCTTCCTTTCACTTGATCTTGTCATGAGCAAACTGGGTAAAGGCTTGTCAGTCAGAATCAAGTAGGATGTAAATTTCAAGCAACTTGTCCATCCTAACTGTCGTCATTCTTGTTTTTGGTAATACTGGTAAGGCTAGTATGACATCTAGTGGATGCATAGTGTCTTCCCATAGGATTTCTGGGCAAGATTTAAAATGTACTTACAAATATGAAATGTGAAAATCCATAAGAATAA